TACTCTAAATCAAGCTCCAGCTTCCTATCTGCTATATATAATACCCGGTGTCAGAAAAAAATATATAGTTGGATTTAGGGAAAGAAAGATCCGCTCATACCTGGATTCGATCCCATTTCTAGATATAAAATGATCTCTCAATCAAACGTCTACATCGATTGAGCAGAGAAGTTTCTCGAATTCCCCTACCATTTTAAAGAAAAATTATTTAATATTTATTGGAATTTGGCCTTATTTTTAATCTAATTTAATTCTGTCATTTATTACAAACTATCAATATTTAACATATAATATATTAATAAAAAAAAAATATTATACCCGATCATATCTAAAAATGCTGAATTTAGCTACTTATATTTTTTTAAAGGAAGTCACAGAATTTTCGTACCTGGCAGACAAAAGAAATAGCATGGCCCCTGTTTTATAGTAAATTTATTTATTGAAAATCTAATTGAAAGGTTGACAATAATTTATTAAATAAATTAACTGAAAAATAATCAAAGAAAATAAGGAAAAAAAGAAATAAAAAAAATTAGAATTTTGAACATATTTTTAAAAATTTTGACAACCCAAATATGACAAATTAAAAATTGAAATTTTATTTTTTTTAATATATTGACATTTGATATTTGAAGGCGTTCTTTCTCTTAATGGTTCAAGAATTCATAAGTGTTATTTTTAATCTTTGAGTCTAAAGGAGTATATTTAATTAATCGTATTTTTTTTTAGCATATAAAGAAGGCTCTTACTTGGAAAATTAGTTGTTAAATTTATTTTTGCGACACTACATTTTTTTGGGGGGGATGAAAAAGGAATCATCCGATTTTACAATGCTTATTCCCGTCCTCGTGATCTCCCGCGCATGAAGAGACACTTTGTAATAAGGGCTATTATTATGCTAGGTACCCATCGTTGAAGTTTGCGCAACCAATCGAATTTCAATTCGGGCATCAGGCATATTATCCATACCGAGATCAAGAGACCGCTAAGTAATTCTAGGTAAGTTAACATTGGGTAAGCCACGTCAAACGAGTATAACTTGGATTTCGGGGGCATCGGAGAGCAAGAATTATCATTGAGTGACGCTTCCCTGATAGGTTGGACAAGATTGAATATGCAATTCGGAATCAAATTTAGAACGTGAGTGACAGATAGCCAAAGTTGAAGCTGACTCATCTTTAATTCCCACGTGAATTGATATTTAGATTCCGGTTTGTGATTGAAGTAGATATCCGAGTGTAAAATATTCGAGGCTTGGAGATCCGAGATGTTAAAGTATCGCTTTATTTTTAAATAGTACCCGGCATTTTTCAGAGCAAAACTCAGGTTGAGAATCAAGATTAATAAGTTGGCAGTATTATCTATCGAGTATGCAATCCAAAATCCTTTCCCTTTCAGCTTATATTTTCTAGAGTAAATCATTGTCGTGGTAAAAGAAACATGGCTAGGATTCTGGGTAGACAGATTACTGAGGCGGTAATAGGTGTCTGGATACTCGTAAACCGATATTTTATACAACTTTATCCTGGACATCGAAAATAAGACTCCTGTTGCTAAGCATAGCAAGGAGACGATTCTTATAAAATTGGCATTCCTCAAAAGCTTGTAATCTAACCCGAAGGACGCCGCATCCAGAAAATAATCCCAACGATATATATATTTCCCTATGTCTACGCTGCTCGCTGAACTCGTGCAAGGTCTCGAGTTAACCCGATTTCTCCTGCGAATCCGAAAATTCTTGACTCTTGAAATAATCGCTCCTCTGGTAAATCTAGACGATTCATCTGCGGTGCCACTCTCTCTATCGGGTCTATAGGATTTTTCTATGCTATTCCAGAAGAGGATTAGAGGGCCGACGGAGCGTTCAAATCCGAAGACCGCTAGCAAGAGACCTCGAGACTTGATAAATATGCCTCGGATTACGGGATGATAATAAGTCATGTAGACAAACCAAGGGAGGGACTGAGATAAAGGTAGATACATTCCGAGTACGGTGTATAAAAATGGCCATATAAAAGCTGCCAGGCAACTTCCCGCGTTCAACAATATCGTGTACCTGACTAAGTATACGCATGGAGGGTAAATTGCCTCCAATATGGGGGTTCTACGAAAAACCGATAGGTTTAATACAAGACCCCACGCGAACGTTATTGGAGTGAGAATCACTTGAAAGAAGTAGATCATGGGGGCATTAATTACGATTAAAAAATAAAATTTTGTGAAATTATTACAATTTAAATATAATAATATATATATTTATATTAGAAAAAATAATAATATATATATTTATATTAGAAAAAATAATATTTTTAAAAATAAAAGTATATACATAATACAAAATTTCCTTTGATTTATCCTCATTTTTATTATGATCGATATCGGCATTGAAATGTTACCTTTATTAAAAAAATATGAAATAATAACTATGTTTTATATAATTTTTTGACATAATTTTAACTGATAAAAAGGGTTTTTTAAAAATGGTCATATTAATATTTTAATATATATTCCATAATTTTTTTAAAATAAATATTTATGTAATATATATTAATGCGTTTTTATATTAAATTAAATTAATTTTATTTTTTTTTAAAAAAAAATTCTTTTTCAATGTATTAAAAACAAAAAAAAATATAAAAATAAATTTTAAAATTATAGGAAAATGTGTATAAAAGTAAAAAAAAAAATTGCACAAATTATATTTAAAAATTAAATTATATAAATAAAGGAATTATAAATTGAAAAAAAGTTATAAAAAGTTATAAAAATACTGGCTTTCGATAAAGCTGCCCTGAGTCATGGTCCGCTAAAATCTTTATCTTTACGCATTTTAAAAGTATATTGTAAATTTAAAACGATAAGCCCATTACATAAATTATGCTTTAAAATGTGCTTTTCATTTACTCAATTCAGTTTATTTATTCCAAAATAATTTATGTTTTATTGATAATAATAATTACTCATATAAATCGCTATAAACAAAAACCATAAAAATTGAGGAATTTGGACTTAGATCTCCCTAGAAAGTATTTTTAAAGTAAATTTGAAATTAATATTAATGTCTACTAGTGAAGTTAAAAATATTAGCTAGGAAATATCATCTCCATATTTTCTAAAAGTTGTACCATGTTTTCTCTATTTTCAGAAATTTTACATTGTTGGATTTGATTTATCTGTTAACGCTTTTTAAAATTCATTTTGCATGATTTTTTTTGGTATACTTAGCATGTTTCTTATATATTTCGACCAAGAATACTTTTTTCCCGCTTTTCTGTCATTTTTGCCTGGATTAATAAATTTTTTTTTGTTGCGTTTTGCATATTTTGGAGTTCTTTTACCCCATTTTCAACAAATATATTTTTTTTTAGGTGTTTCAGAATTTTGCTTGTATAATGATTTACATTTTAAAACAAACTAAAATAAACTTTGAAATTATCGATATTTGTCTCATTAGTGTTGTGTAAACGGCAACTCAATATTTTAGCCAGAAAAATATTGCCTAAGCCTCAAGATTTTGACAATATATGTCTGGACCTTTGTTCCTTCTATGAGCGAAATCTTCAGGCTTGGGTAATATTTTTCTGGATGAAGTATTGAGTTAGCCGTTTTTAAAAATCGCAACATTTGCCATCATAAAAATATAATATAATTTTATGAGTTATAAATATATGATTTGCTAGTTTGTATTGTCCTTGATTTTTGTGACGAAATATTGAAATAACTCCCGATATCTTGAACCAAATTTTTCTACATTTTTTTTTATTTGATTGCGAGTGATACCAACTTGCATACACATTACAGGGTCTACAATAGTGTGGTTAAACGGCTCGTTTTGAAGCATGATAATTGCTGGATTCAAAAAATTGTTGTACACAAGAAAATAAAGAAAGCCATTGTGAAGTGTATATATGGAAGAAATATTAATCCTTTTTTATTTTAACATAAATAACAAAAAAACAAAAAAATAGTGTCTATTGTGACCTTTCCCTTTACATATATTATAGGGATTTTCTAAGAACTCGTTATCAAAAATATAAGTTACTAGCTGATTGCCTATCAAGAATGACGGGGAATCAGATTTTCTTCTTTATTCAATGATAGATGAATAATAAATTTTCCTTTATTTGATGATGAATGATTCAGAAATTTTCCTATCTTATGAAATATAATTCAGAAATTTATATCTATTTAGATGAGGAGTTATTCAAAAAATTTCCATTATTTTTTTATAAATTATGTTTATGAAGTATATGGTTAGTATTTTAATTTATGTGCACAATAAAAAATCTTTTAAACTAAATTTTTATTCATTTGTATTTGTATTTGTAATTTATAATATATATTATAAATTATATTATAAATTACAAAAATATATTCTTGCTAGATGAGTTTTGTGTAAAAATAAGAAAATTTATAATCCATCATTAAATAAATAAGAAAATTCTAGATCCCCGTCATTCTTGACGGGCTATCAGCTAGTATATATATAATCATTATAAAATATATCTAATTCGAATATACTAATTCATAATATATTAATTATATAATACCATATATTTATATATAAATTTTCATCAATAATAACTATATATGAATTATAATACAACCATACCTGTTTCCACAATACTACGTCCCCCCTCCCCCTCAAAATTTTGGTTTCGCTTGTGGTTTATCTAAGTATCATAGGTGATATAAAATAAACCCATGTTGTATAACAGAGAAAACCTTGTTTATCTCAAAATCAATCTACTTATGAAAGTAACCTCTTTGTTTTATGAACTGAACAGTATACACACAACAAGGCAATTTTGCTATTTTAAATTAAAAGTATAAAATAAAAGGAGTGTATGGAGGGGGGGGGTATATAAGCTAAGTTCACTTTGTGTTATAAAGAATATTGGAATTTTTTTGCAAGTACAAACAGAATCACACGCTACAAGCAGCAAATGTCAAAGAAACAATCACAGAAAAAACAAATCAAATATTATTTATTTATGCATTTTGCATGGTTCGGTCATTGTTAAAAAATTTTAAAATGCGATATATTATGTTTTAATTGTTATAGTATATAATCCATATTTCAAGTAAATTTACTCTTATATGCATCAAATAAAGGTAATAGTAAATTATTTACCAATTTATTTAACTATATATCGTTAAAATGATATATCCTGGATTTAATTTATAAGCTTTATAGGGAGTGGCAACGTTAAGGCATTGTAAAATTACATGTATATAAAATTTAGGCATACTTATATAAATAAAAATTGACTTCTTTCGCTTGTATACACTGGGTTTATACCTATTGGATCTAACATGGTTTTGGTTTTTTTTAAATTTAATGTCATTTTACAACATAAATCATGTATCTATCTTTTGATGCAGTCCATAAGAATATTTATTGTTTTACCATCCATTTACAACTGATCATGATTTGTGAGAGAAAAATTTCCTCCCAGCTAATATTCATGAATTTTCTTATATAAGAACTAATTGTGAAAATAAAATTTTCAAATATAACTATTAATTACTAAATATCTTTCCACTTAGCAAAATACATTATATAAAATGGTATCTATATAATTATTCTCATTAAATTTTAATTTATAAATGATCAGCCAATTTTTTTAGCCTAAACTCAAGCCCATCTACTACAATTGGGGGGGGGGGGGGATGCAAGATCTATTTAAAATTGGGGTGGGGGGGGGTTGATAAAGGAGGTATCGTTTTCCTAATTTAATTTGATTTTGATAATTTTAAATTTATAAAAGGGGTCATCATCATTGGCTTAGGGGGGTTTATAAGTGCCTTATTTAATTTATATCAAAGACCTGAAGAGGTTTAAATTGTAAGCCTAGCCTATTTTTTTTTTTTAAATTTAATTTTGACCTGGATTAAGATTTTGGTGAATATTAAAACCTTTTTTATAATTTTAGACGTGGTCTGGTGGAAATTTGAAAGGTTTTGGCTTTGTTTTCTAATTTTTTTAAGAGATCTGAAAATACATCCCAAACTGGGCCTATTTTTTAAGAATAAGGTCAGGCCTAATATTTTTTAAAAAAATAGTCATGTTTAAAATTTTAAATATGTTATTCAATTTTGTGAAATATTTTGATATATTTTAAGATTCTGCAACAAACAAGGCACCAGTACTTTTTTTATTTGTAATATTAAGATTTTATACATGTAAATAAATTTGGTTAGGTTGAGCCAAATAATTTTCATCTTGGGTTGGGCTTTCTGGGACTGATAAAAATTGTTTGTTTGAGATTAGACTGAGTTAGACAATATTTAAAAAAATATTTCAAGCAAGGTGGGTTTGAAAAATTAGGCCAGATACAGATCACTAATTTGTTTCAAAGAGGAATTGTAAATTTTACCAGTAATTATTTTTCAACTGTTCAATTGATATAATTTATCTTAAAAATTGGCCCCAGTTTAAAAAAAATTTACCTATATTTTTAAAATCATACTATTTTTAGACTGGGTTGGGGTTGATACTGCAGGACTTATCCACATCACAGATAATTTAAACATATATGGGCTTCTCATATTTTAGACATCTCTTCAAAACCATTTGGGTCATTCCATTATAAATCAACCAATGTTTTGGATAACCATCTCAAAATGAATGAAACTTGTCACGTTGGTTATTTATGTTGTAAATTTTAATGAAAGCAAAATTTTATGCTGGGCTCAACCAGATCCAAAGATATACACCTTCAAAGTCAAAAATCGTGAAATGCTTGATTTATTTAAATCTTGTTTTAAAAAAAATTAAGATAGAGTTACAAATTATATATAATTTTATAGCTCTTAAAATTCTACATGGGAAAATATCAAAAAAATTGAAATTTTTTTATTTCCTGTTAAAAATAAAAAATTAACATTATTGAGAATGGAATTTTTGGCGGGTATTGATATTTGGCATGAATGTTTATTACATTCATATTTTACTGTTTAATCAAAAAAAAATCTATAACTACTTTTGTTTTTTTAGATTATATTTAAATTTTTATTATTTTGATAAAATAATATATAGCGCTATATTTAAAAATTATAAAATATAATATTTGATAAAAAATACGTATTTCATTGGTATTAAAATTTAAAAAAAATCCATTGATGAGTATATCCATATGATATAATATCCTGGGACGTTATATAAGCAAACAGCATATACAAATATGATTATTATTAGAATGGTAATGATCCATGGATGAAATATATATCCCTCTTAGTGATTTGATTCTATTTGCTAAGTTTTTGATATTTTACAATATAGAATTTTAAGGGCTATAAAATGATATAAATTTATCACTTTTAAATATATTCATTGAACGAATTTCGACTTTGATGACGTATATTATTAGATCTGATTGAGCTAGCGCTCTAAAATTTTGATTTTGATAAAATATACAGCATAGACATCTATCATGCCAGGTTTCGTTCATTATAGAGATGATCGCCCTCGTCAAAAAATCTCGTTATTTAGGGGTCGATTTGACATGGCAATGACTCCTTTACAAAATAGAGTTAATATTATTTAGAAGAACCTGAAAATAGGCATCTTTGCAGGTCAATCTATAGACACAATTTGCTCAAGACTGCCATTACTGTAAATTTTTTTTCCATCTCCTCCCGAGTTACCACGCGAAATTTTCATTAGCCCAATTGTTTTCTATTCTAGCATAATAAATAAAAAAAAACGTAACGCATGCCATGTTTTAATTGAGGTTGTATTTTTTATTAATATACGTCGATTCAAAATTTTTTATAAGTTCGATCTTTAAAAATTATATTATCGTCTGCCTTCCTATTTCTTTAAATTTTCTAAATATTCCTTTTTTAGGAGATAATAAGTAAGTTTATTTAATATTACATTTTTATCTAATATTTACAAAGCGAGGAGATATTTAAAAAAAAATTAATGAAGTAATTAAACCTATTTGCGTTTTATTTAAAAAAAGGGTTGCTTAACGCCAAGCGGTAATTTTACCGATTTGCACGAGGCCATTTAAAATGCATCAGGCGCTTGCAACGCGGCGCATGAAACGCTCAATTTGTTCACTCTATTAGAGGGTCTTGGTCACAGGCCTTTGATTAAACATACAATTTTCCTATAAAATAAAATATTAAATTGAAATAAGGCCCTAAATTAATACATTAAATTTTTTGGTGACTTAATGCTTAACCAGGCGAAATAAATACTACATTTAAAAGATGTTATTATAGTATATATATATTTTATTGATTTTTTTTTTGTTTTTGGTTACTTGTAAAAATCTGAAAATTATTTTCAAAAAATATTTTATTTTTTTTTTATTGTTCGAATTCTTTTTTTTCCCCCGTGGAAGTCTCCTTCACAGCCGAATACATAATATGGTAGTTAATGAATTAATTAAGTTGAATATTTTTTTAGAATAGATTTCTCTATACGGAATGCTTTCTGTTTATAATAAAAATGGTGGGGGGGGGGGGTAGTGTTTGTTAAAACGTGATTTAACAGATTTTTAAATTAAAGTTTTAGCCAAAATGATATTACATAGTGCAGGGGATACTAATTAATTAAGAATAGATATAAATTAACAAAAAATTAAGTTGATTGTTTTTGGGAATATTTGTATAAAAAGTGATTCAATTCGGATTTTAATGATCGTAGTTAGGGATAACCGAAAAACCCGGACCGGTCTGAAAAAGTTGATTAATTGGGCCCGATGAGGCCGGACCCAAGTTGAAGAAATAATTTTAATACATTGGGCTTTAGGTCTCTAGCAATGACGTATAATAATACCTAGACTGACGAAGCATTTGAAAGCGTCGTTGAATTCAAATCAGCTGGATCCGCCATTTTGGTAACCCATAATATAGTAATTATTCTCGTATTAAAAACTACTGTTTAAATTGATAACTTGCTTCCTTATTATCTCGATGATCAGACAATTCTTTAATAAAGTTTGCGTTCAGACATAGGGAATTGATTGGCCTCTAGTTTAAAATTTTTTAATAATGATATGGATAACCAAAATGGCGTCCCCATTTGTTTTCATTGATGTTCAGTCTAGGTATTATTATATGTCATTGTTCTCTAGTCGGCTCTTTATTCGAAAGCTTGTGAGACCTTCGAACACGACATTAAACCCCATTTTGCGTTATTATATTATAATTATAAAACTTTGTTCTTTTGACAAAAAAAATGGGGAAAAAAAAGCGACGAGAAAGAAAACAAAATGGAAGAAGAAATGCTAAGACGAAGGCAATTTTTTTTTGATCTAAACTATACTCGAAAAAAATGGCTTCTTGTCCTCTTAAAAATCTAAGGAAAAACTAGCCGCTTTTATTTTTCCAAGACCGAAAATATTGAAAATGAAGGAGGGAAATCATAAAGAAAATTTTTTCTCTTGGGAAAGTTTTCGATTCAACGTCTTCTGGCATCAATAATTTAATAACCCGCTGATCGGTAAATTTTAAGAAATAATAAACCCGGGCTGGTTACTTTGCAGAAGTACTCTAACCAAAATAGAATCCAGTGGTTTTGGGCAATAGTGCGGCCAAATTGAGCGTTTCAAAGGCTGCGTTGCGTAAATAATGCATTTAAAATGGCCTCGTGCACCTTGGTAAAATTACCGTTTGGCGTTGGCAACCATTTTAAAAAACGCAAACAGGTTTGCTTTTTCAATACATTTTTTATTCTGCGATTTGTAATATTATATAAAAATGTATAATATAAATAACTCACTTATAATCCTTAAAAAAAAGGAATATTTAGAAATTAAAGAAATGAGAATGCAGACGATAATATAATTTTCAAAGGCAAATACTTTTATTTAGAATTTATTTAAAATTTTGAATCGACTGATATTAACAAAAAAAAGACAGTCTCATTATAAATAAGGGACGTGTTACGTTTTTTTTTTAATTTAAAAATTACCGCAAAACGTAAACGCTCAATTTATATGCACTATAAAAACAATAAGTTAAACTTTGCGTTAGAAATTGGCTTGGCGATATATATATTAAATTTATTTTAATTTGCCTAAATAACTTGGCCAAATATTCTTCTTTATCTTCAGATTATTAGAAATAATTTTCCCTTAACATTTGATGTGCTGTAA